TGTGTGTGTGTGTGTGTGTGTGTGTGTGTGTCCGTCACCTTGAAGTAGTCTCCAAACGACCAGTTCCCCAGCATCTCGAAGAAGGTGTGGTGGTACACATCTCGGCCCACGTCCTCCAGGTCGTTGTGTTTGCCGCCGGCTCGGACGCACTTCTGACTGTTGACCACTCGGCGGTACGAGGCCATCTCGCTGCGAGGGTCGGCCGTCCCCAGGAAGATGGGCTTAAACTGAAACCAGAACAGTCAGTGAGCACTCCGACCCCAGGACAAGAGCTCACAGCGTGACATCATACATACAGTGAAGATTTAAAATTTTTCCGTAACATCTGTCTCCATGACTTTGTTTCAGTGGTTTAGGACAGTCGTGTCTCGCACTTTATGAAACGCTCTAACACGTGTGTGGAAACACAAACCGCTAATGACTGCCTCTGTGCAGCACCGTGTCATGCTGACGGGTCACTGACCACGAAACAGGAGTGAGACCGGGTCAGACAGAAGCACCGGCTAAACCCCGAACGTCCTCAGATCCTGACCTGTGTGATGCTGCTGCGATCTCCTGACCTTGATTTGTTAACGTGGTCCTGAGACACCGCGAGTATCTGCGGTTGATATAGTGTATGTGTGACATCACAACTTCCCAGAAATCCTGACGGCTCGTTTACAGGCACAGTGTTTAGCACACACACGTGAGCGCAGTGCCCAGAGAGGCAGTCAGAGCTACAGGCTACAATGAGGCTAAAAACAGAGTTCAAATGAGGTTTTTCCAAACAACTTTTTATGTCGGGGCTTCAGGACACTTGGATCACTACGGACGAGCAGTATGGAGATATTTTGTGGTTTCAATGATGTGTTTTTGGACGTTTGAATCTGGGGCGCCGTCAGCCTCCATTAGGTGGAGTTGTGTTGCTACCTCCTCTCCCCTTGGATCTCTGCAAGTGATGTGAGGACTCTAAAACTTCACCTGAGCCTCCCTCGGCATATGGGTGAGTAGATAATGGCTGAATTTACATTTTTGGGTGCACTATCCCTTTAAGACTTTCCTCTGTGTGTGATAATTGATGAAAAAATCTGCTGCGATAAGTTATGTATGTTCCAAGATGGCAAAGAGTGTGGGTGTTATGAGCAGAACTAGGTGCTTACTGAATCAACAATCCTTGCTTATTCTATATTATTATCTCATATTACCATATCTGAGTTAGTGTGTGGAAGTTATTAAACCAACCTGCTCCCTCTGTACAAACTACAAAAAAGAGCCATAAGATCAGTTTACAATGTGAGGTACAATGATCACACTAATTATCCACACTGACAGGATCAGACCTGGTCAAATTCAAAACTGCACAAATCATTTACAAAGCAAAAAATAATCTTCTGGGCATAATTCAAAATGTGTTTCATGAGAGGGAGAGTGATAAAAGTATCATGTGAGAGGAAAACTCAAATCACAACAAAGTGTCAGAACCACTGTCAATAGTGTGTGTGTGTGTGTGTGTGTGTGTGTGTGTGTTTGCAGAATGGTTTAGATGAAGGGATTAAACTAAGTGTTAATCAATTCATAAGGAAGTTTATAAAAGGAGTGTTTGAAATGGAGGAGGAAGAGGAGGAGGAGAATGACTACACTGATGAGATGATTGTGGGGAAGAGGGGATTCACAGTGTGTATTTGTGCTGTCGGAGGGTTGCACTAGATAAGCTTTGCTTCTTCCATCCCCTGTTCAAACTGTGTTGTTGTTGTTCGTTTGTTTGTTTGTGGTTGTTACGTTGTTTGTTATCAGTGGTGTCCTGTGGATTTGTTATGTTGTGTGTGTTGTATTATTTTGTTTGCTTTGAAATGAATGAATGAAATACACTAAAGTAGCCTATCTGTAAAATTGGACAGGACTCTTATTTTGAAATGGTCTGCTCACAGAACAGACCGGGACGGACCGGGACGGACCGGGACCGACCGGGTCTAAACTGACCTGGTTCATTCCCGCGTTGACGAACAGCAGGCTGCGGTCTCCTCTGGGCCGGACAGGGGAGGACGGGACCAGCCGGTGTCCGTGTCTCTGCCGGAAGAAGTCCAGGAAGGTGCTGCGGACCCGGGCGGCGGGAAGCTCCGGAGGAGGAGAGCCGCTGAAGGAGCGAGCTGAGCCGGCAGAGAAACGGCCCGGCGGCCCGCTGAGCGGCCGGAGCCTCCGGCGGAGCAGCGACAACATCCGGGGGACAAAGTCTCAGACAGAACCGGAGACAGGACCGGGGACGGGGACCCGAACCATGGTGACGGTCACACAGGTGACAGCTTGTTATGATGCGCATGCGCACTCTGAGCCGCTTCTTCTTCTCCTGTGTGATGCGAGCAGTGTCGGCTCTGCCGCCCCCTGCTGTTCACACTGCGCAGCCTCCATCTGCAGCGTCATCACGTCGTCATCTGCATCACGTGATTTGTGATGAACAACACAGAGTATTTATTTATTTATTTATTTATTTATTTATTTATGTCATGAATGATTTTGAGGGGTTTAGTGGAAACTGAGTATGTCAATACTGAAATGAGGGAAACTCTGGGTTTTCAGCTCCAGACAGAGAGATAAGTCAAACTCTGAGTCAATCACCATGGCAACTGACTCTGTGAACCTAACCTGCTCTCTGGCAGGTTTTCTATAAGATACCCTGAGTTCACCCTGTCTCCTCCCTACTGCTGAGCCTGAAGCAAGCTGGCAGACACACATGGGTTGTTCTTATGTAGGCAGAATTAATTCACAATGCTTTACGCTGGGAGAGGATCTTCACACCCCGTCTAGATGTGCTGTCTTTCCCCAATGAATATGTGTTTGAACGTACTGTTTTTCATTAGACTCAATCGTTTACTGGCCACACATATCAAATCTGACACACTGCAGACGTGCGCTCTCATCAGAGCAAATGTTTTTTTGTGAACGGTAGCTTTTTATATGATATTGATGATGATTTGTGGCCTCTGCCTTCTTTCTGTTGGCTGAGTAGAACTCAAATGTTACTCAGCAGGATATTAGGCAAGAGGACACACAAGCTGAAACAGTATTTTTGGGGGGTTTAAATTAGTAGTGACCTACAGTACATAATGACATAGCCACTGAATGACAGGTTATTGAATTGAATTCCCCAATCAACCACGTGACCGGGTTGCTGCCTGCTGATTGGCTGACTCCTCAGTTTTAAACTCCACCTGATGCCAGCCTTCGGCCTCTCACTCTCCCCATTCCCATCATGACAGCAGCTTGTATTCTGTGTTAGTGATCTTGTGTGTTATAGTAGCATTTCTGATTTAGAGCATCGTCTGGTAGAAGCTATTAGCTGGAACTCTCGTTTTGTGTGTAAAAGCTACCTGTGACTTTGATTAGGACAACTTATTGTAACCATTGTAAATTTTGTAACTAATCTTGCTTAATTCTGTAGCAGTCCTAAAGTAGGAGGGAGAAGCCATTTTTGTTGATCCCTTTTTCTCCTGTTTATTTCAGTTGGGAGTTAGGTAAGTTTGATTGTCTTTTGTTTCTGCATTTACGTTCTGACAGGTAAGGTAGGGATCTGGATTTATAATTTATAGGATCAGATTCAACCCTGAACTTACCCTGCTCCGGAGCAGGATAGCCGTTCAGAGTATGTTACCATGTTGATCTACCCCTATAAGAACTGAACCGGCTTCGTGATACCGAAAACCCTGTGTTAACCCTGAAGTTACCTCGCTAAGACATTAATCCTGCTTCCTGATACAGGCCCCAGGGGCCTCATGTACAAAGGGTGCATACACACAAAAACTTGGCGTATGTCGTTTTCCATGGCAAAGTTCAAATCTGTCAAGAGTGAAATGACCGTGGAAATGTGCGCTGCCTCACGCCAACTTCATGGCTGGCCTACACACGTTTCTACAGCTGTTGATCCTTTGGCGACACTTAGAGGTGATGCTGGGAAACTGTTGTAATAAATACACGTGAAAACAATCAGTCCTCAGAGAGATGTGCACATCAGACACACATGAACAATTAACACACCTTTGATGTACTGGCATGTTTAAAGTTAAATTCAAAAGATTTATTTCAAACCAAACAATACCATACACACAACATTTACGCATGAACCTCTGTGAGCAGGCTGTTGTCTGACCCGTATGAGTTACACAAATGTATAGGTGTTTAACCACATGTGCTCCCACCACCCCTCAGAGAGAGCAGAGTCACCCACAATTGCGGCGACTCTCTGTTCAAACGGGGTGAGCTCCTCCTCTCCTGTCCCCCCGTCTGTTTTGTCCACACTGTGGTGGTGGACAGCCGTCCTCCGCTTCTCGTCCACCTAACTGTCGGACCACTTCTTTTTTTAATTCTGCGTGTGTACGCTTTTCTGACCCCACAGCATTGACAGCCTCACACTCACTCCTCCTGCATTTAGTATTGATGCCGGAGGACAGCGTGCCAAAAAGTACATTTTTTCACGTCTCCACTTCAGTTAGTAGCGTCTCCACTTCAGTGAGTACAGTCTCCACTTCAGTGAGTA